AGAGAAGAATATTAAATGGATCTTTTAAGATTGTTGAAATCGGAATCTATGCATTCCAGTTGGAGTCGATCCCTGTAAGGATTAAGCAATTTGAGAAGGTGAGTGGTTTTGTCCTTTGTCTCAGCGCCACAACCAACCTGCAAAACTAGCAACAGCTTCTGAAAGGCACCCACTTGAAGCGCCTCAACCAGAACCCTCTCCTCTCCAAATTTGCAGAGCTTCCAAAGGGCGGAAACAGAGTAATCCGACCCCAACGACGAAACCCGCAACAGTTTCTTCACCAACACAGGAACCGCTAACGCATTGCCAGAAGCCTCTTCTCTCCCCTCTTCACAACCGCAGAGGGACTCAAAAACACCCAAAGCCTTCTCGCACGTGCTTCTTTCCCCCTCCGACTCAAGGACAATCTCCAACATTGAACAAACCATTCCCACTTGGATAAATTTCAATCTCATTCTCTCACTAGAGCAAACCAAATGCCAAACCACCGCCAACGAAGCTTTCGCAATGGTTTGACCAAATAACATCCTTCGGTTAAGAAACTTCGCCAATACTTGGTTCATTCCTTGGATCTCCGCGAGAGCCTCCACGTGTCGGTGATCACCGAAAGAAACAAGGTTTCTGAGGGCAACAATTGAGGTCTCTTTCCAGGAGAGATCTTGCTGCCTCAAGAACCAAACCATGCAACGTAAAGAAGCTTCAGAGCCCAAATGCTGTAGCGCCTGGAATTCACGTGGAAACATGGAGTTGAGAAGCGAGAGAATGTGATGAAGCAAAGTGGAATGAGAAGGATTAGCGAATGCATGAAACGCAGAGGCTAATGCACGTGGCAGTCCGTTGTCCTCCATGCAGCGCGTGTTCCGCTCACTCTCGGCACCCCATTTCTGAATTGCTTGCAGCAACGGAAGGCAGGCGTGTGGGTCGAGAGGCGAGGCCTTGGAAACGGAATAAAGAGTGAGAAGAAGGTGTTGAACTTCCTTTGGGGTGATGGGAACTGGCGGCGTTGGGATTCTTTGGACGCCACGTGTTCGATTATCGACGCACCAGTCTTGGATCATCATTCGGAGGGTGTGGTTGGGAATGAAGTCCAAGTGGGTGACGATTTGGTTGGTGAGGGGGCATGTCAAGTTTCCTTCTTCGAACCACCTTTCTATGCTTTCTCGGTCGTAGGTGATTCCGGTGGACAGCGTCACAGGGTCTTTCATTAGATCCAGAGAAATCGGGCACCGGAAGTGGTTGGGAGTCACCAACTCCTCCCTTGCCCTTCTTCTTCTTCTTCCATCTTCTCCACCCGAGAACCATTTCTGTTTTAAGGTATGAGAATGAGAATTGTACCCGTCAAAATGATACACCAGTAATTTTTTCGTAATCTGAGGATCGAACGAGTGCTCCGATCCGATGTGAGTAGAGGGGTTGGTACCTGCAAAAGACACTTCAACGCTCAAGTCAGGACAAACTCGAATATCTAGAATAATTAATGAACAATGACGTTACCTTTTGATCTGAGCTATTTATACTGACATTTATGGGTCCTGGACCCATAAACCCTGCAACGTATTTACCGTACTAAGTAATATATCTTAATTACCTGACTAACTCATAATCATTGATTAAGGACAATAAATGGTGGTAGTTCGGTCCTAATAGCCAATTGACACTCGGCCACCTGGTACTGTCTGTCATTCGGCAGGCGACAGGAGGTGGCCGAACGCCTCCTACCCGTTACAAGAATGAATGAGGATGTTTGGTTGAGTGTTTATATATTGAAGTGAGCGCATTCAAAATTAAATGTTGACCAACAGGAGAATGGGTAAAACCAAGACCCAAACGTCCTTTTTTTTATTTCTTTAATAAATACTAATTAATACCAATGCTATGACTTTTTGCTGCATGCATCATGCATGTTGTATAACATCTTCAGCCAAAACAAGCAGGTGATACGACTACCATTCACTTTATTGCAATTTTTCCCGTTACAAGTTTTTTTTTTTTTTTTTGTTAAAGGCAATTTTATTCTAGACATAGTGAACTATTAAACATGTATATGTTTTTAGAGATTCAACCCTTAATTCCTTTGCATCAAAGAAAGCGAAAAAAAGAAAAATAGTTTTCTCACATGCTTCCATCACAGCGCTGCCCGTAACTTCTTTTTTTATTCAACATTATAAAGTCATTAGACCTTTGATCATAAAGCCTCTTTAACGCCAACTTTGGAAATTTCTAGCATCACCAGCCACCAATTATGTACAGCATTTTTGGCACAGAAGACACAGATCATATATTTGTTATAGAAAATTCCCGCTTAAGTGTTTTTAATTCATGTAAAATAGGATTTTTTATTTTAGTTTTTATAATTTTTTTATCTTTTAAAATATGAAATCGTTATTTTTGGTTCATAAAAAATTAAATAAATTTAGTTTTCATCCTGTAAAATATTTTTTAAAAATTTTTATTTTTATAAAATTTTAAGTCATTATTTTTTGTTCTTAAAGATAGATAAATAATATTTATTTAAAATATTTATAAAAAATATTCAAAAATATCATATACTAACATCATATAAAATACAATTACAAGATCACTTGATTATATAATAAATACAAAAGTTGTTAACAAAGATTATAAAGAAACTGTTTGAAAATAAATTTAAAAATTGCTTTGGAAAGTTTCTCTACTAAATTCTTTTTATTTTCAATAGAGAAGCTCTTAAAAATCATTCTAATTTATATCCAAATAGACTTGAAATACTATAAATTAAAAACAACAATTTTAATTTTAAAATAATAAAAAAAATTATAAGAATCAAAACTAAAAATAACTTATTTCACATATACTAAAAATATATTTAAATCTAAAAAAATATATAATACATGAAGATCATTTACTAATTTAATTTTGATGTATTAATTGATTTAAGATTTGTTTATGCTACTATTTAATTATAGAGATGTCATTTATGTAATTTGATTTTATAGAAATATCATATATCTCTTTCCGTTATATCTCAAAATTATTTTTCAATCTAAGCTCTACAATTTATTATTGAGTCTAACATACAAATAATATTTCTCATAATTATATATTGAGTTCATCAAATTAAAAAATACATACAATTACTACCTAAAGAGTCTAAAGTATAATTATAATTAGTGTAGTTTTTTTAAAAGAGAATATAATTAATAGGATTAAAATAACATTATAAGTAATTGATTATATATAT